GTGTACCAGTCTGGGTGTATCTGTAATGTGTACCAGGTTTGGGTGTAAGTGGATCCTGTACCAGCCTGGGTGTATGTGTGACCTATTTCTCTGAACTGGCTTTTGTCCCAGTGAGTTGTGCGCTGGGAACGGTGTGTGAAGCCTGTCCCAGTGCCCGCACTGTCCTCGCTGCCTCTGCACGGTCTGTAATGTTTGAGCGTTGACGGAGGGGGCGGTAATCTGGGTGAGATCCGCACAGGATCGGGGCTTTAGTCGGAGCTGATCGGCCCGGGTGGTTTCAGTGGGAAGGTCGGGGTCGGGGTAGGGGGTAGGGGGTGGGGGTGGGAGGGGGGGGGGTGGGCTGGGGGTTCGGGGGTAGTATTTGCTCGCTCTGATCGCTGGGCACGGGCTGGGGGAGGTGAGCGTATGTGCGGGCTCTCTGGCGGAGAGTCCCGGAGAAATGCTGCCAGAGAGACGGGCAGAGGCTGCGGCGGGGGCTCGGTGAGCCCGGCTGGGGAGAGATTGTTGTGGGGGTTGGGGGTGTTGGGGGTGGTGCTGCCAGGAGGTGGGTGGCTGAGGGAGCAGGAGAAGAAAGAGGGTTGAGAAACCATGGCTGAGCTGGGGACGGCCAACATCACGACCAGGATTAAGAAGCTGCTCCGCTCCCCGTCTCTCAAACTGCGGAGGAGCAAACAGCAAACAGCGGGCGGGCACCTCGCCGACAAGGTGAGTGTACAGAATCCGGATCCTCGCTGTCACTGCCCCCTGAGGGGCCTGGCAAACAGCGGGCGGTGTCAACCTTCTCCAGGCCATTTGCACGGCCAGTCCCCCAGCTCGTAGCCGTATCCCCGCGGGCACCAAACCAAACTGGTGAGCTGCAGCGCTTGGCGAGGGTGTCCGGGAATAGGGACACGAGAGGGAGACACACACACACACACACACTGCTAAACGCTCCGTGTCGGGGGTTTTGGGGAGAGGGGGCTCTGCCAAACCTGTGCGCTGGTCAACACACACACACACACACACACCGCCGCCGCCGCCGGGGGAGAAGGTGCCTTGTCCCTCTCTGGCTCTCTCCATCCCCGTACCTGTGCACCTTCCATCCCCGGCTTATCTCTCCATCCCCGGCTTATCCCTCCGTGGATGTTCCCCACCGTCAACACTTGCTCCCCTCCCACCTGGCATCTTTCTCCGCGGCTCCCTCCGTCCCTTTTCCAAGTGGGTCAGCACGCACTCTAACCCTGGCCGGAGTGGGTCAGAGTGTACTCGAACCGTGGCCGGAGTGGTTCGGCGTGTACTCTAACCCTGGCCGGAGTGGGTCGGCGTGTACTCTAACCCTGGCCGGAGTGGGTCGGCGTGTATTCTAACCCTGGCCGGAGTGAGTCGGCGTGTACTCTAACCCTGGCCAGAGTGGGCCAGCGTGTACTCTAACCCTGGCCAGAGTGGGTCGGCGTGTACTCGAACCGTGGCCGGAGTGGGTCGGCGTGTATTCTAACCCTGGCCGGAGTGGGTCAGCGTGTACTCGAACCCTGGCCGGAGTGGGTCGGTGTGTATTCTAGCCCTGTCTGGAGTGGGTCGGCGTGTATTCTAGCCCTGTCCGGAGTGGGTCAGCATGTACTCGAACCCTGGCCGGAGTGGGTCGGTGTGTATTCTAACCCTGGCCGAAGTGGGTCAGCGTGTACTCGAACCCTGGCCGGAGTGGGTCAGCGTGTACTCGAACCCTGTCTGGAGTGGGTCGGTGTGTATTCTAGTCCTGGCCGGAGCGGGTCGGCGTGTATTCTAGCCCTGTCCGGAGTAGGTCAGCGTGTATTGTGACCTTGGCCAGATTGGTCAGTGTGTATTCTAGCCCTGACCAAGCGGTCAGCAAACATTTTAGCTGCGTCTGGAGTGGTCAGTCAGTGTTCTAGCTCTGTCCCGAGTGGTCAGTGCTCACCCTGCCCCTGTCCCGAGTGGTCAGTGCTCGCCCTGCCCCTGTCCCGAGTGGTCAGTGTGTCTACGGTCTCAGTTGGTACCCATTGTGGAAATTGCAGATCTTGATACAGCTGCTGCCGTCACTGGGCACCACCTGTATGGATTTCAGATCTCAGCGTTGGGTCCTGTGTCCTCGATGTTATTTCGCAGATAAACCTGATGATACTGGTTTCAATTGAGAGAGCTGCTGCAGACAGTGAGAACGAGCTTGTTACTGATATATCTGAGGCATCTCCGATGGAGGTCACTCTGGTTCATGAATTGGTCAAACAGGCGTAACATGACGATGCTATATCATCAGACAGTGTGCAACTGTGAAATGCGTCACCTCTATTTACATTGCTGTTGAATTCAGGCAAGGTCAGTCTGTTGCCCCCGTGTTCATTCGGTGCAAGTTTTCATGGTGAGCGGGAGACCCATGTGAGGTAGAAGTTTCAGACTGGCCCTCTCTGTATCATCGTAAATACCTACCTGGCTGCCCTTCGCTGCTGCTGATCTGCTTTGTGAATAAACCTCTCCCTTCCCCGCTCTTCATCCTCACCGCGCTCCCCCACCCCAGCAATGCATCATTGACCAAGCCAGTGATTTCCCTGGGTGCCTCTTCATTGCCAGAACCTGATGCAGCTCTGTGATCTGCACATTGTGCAAATTAAAGCCCAGCTTTCTAAAAACCCAGTGATATCCGTAAGGAAACCATGTATCGGACAATCCAGCCAGTGCTTCTTTCCAAGGTCCCGAGGAGGAGATACTAATGATGTGGACCATTGTGAGGTGGGGCGGTGTGGACATGGTGGCATTGGTGGTAATGTCACAGCTACTAATTCAGAGCCCCAGGCCAATGTTCTGGGTCCAGGGGTTTGAATCCCACCGCAGCAGATGGTGAAAAACAAATACACTAAAAAAAAATCTGTAATAAGCTGTAGTTGATTGTCATAAAAACCCAGCTAGTTCACGAGGGAAGGAAGTGTGCCATCTTTACCTGGTCTACACTGCATGTGACTCCAGACCCACAGCAAAGTGGAGCAATTGGGGTTGGGTGGTAAACACTGGCCTAGCCAAAGACACCCACGTCCCGTGAGTGAACAATATATAAGAAAGCTTGCTAATCTTCACCATACATGGAGGTACATGAGTACTCCTGGAGGTATCCAGTTTCAAGCAGGTTTCTTTTACGTAGAGTCAACCAGGAATGGCTCAATTCTTCCCTCCTCTTCCATTGGCATGAAAGCCAATTGCAATGTAACTGCTAACCTTCTACAGAGTTGACCTGCAACACAAACCAGAAGTCAATTTGCAACATGGACTAGGAAATTAACCTGGGATAAATTGGATGTTGGTTTGGAGTTGTGGGCTCGAGGTCCACTCCAAACACAACTAAAGTTGATACTTAATTGTAACCTTAGGGAATGGCCCGCTTCCACACTGTAGGGATTCTAAATATGATGATCTCCATCTTGCTATAAGCTACAATATGAACAAAACAGTGCCATATCAGACACTTTAGCACTGCCCATTCACAGGAACTGTCACCTCCAATGTGGTTTCTGACAGTGCGAAAACACAACGTTCGATATTTGGAAAGTTCAGGTGCACTCCTAAGTCCTGTTGTTCGCAATCAGATGTGTTCCTGGTTTGTCCCAGACATTTTGGGAATAGTGGCCATAATTCTCTAAGTTTTTGGATACTTATGGATAAGGACAAGAGTGGACTTTGGATGAAGGTGTTAAACTGAGGGAAAGCCAACTATACATCCTAACGTTCTCACCATGAGAATTTTTTTGCTCGTCAGTTGTAAATTTTGACGCTGGAGAATGACTGCTGTTTTTCAACTTTTCTCTATTTGGGGATAAATTAAAAGTGCGATGGGAACCTCAGGCTAGGGCCTTAACTTGTGACAGGCATCCTGTAATATTATCAGTGCTTCAGCCACTATCCAGCACTGAACCTAGCATAGAATGTGGGCGTTAGCCAAGAAATGTATGAGATTTTCTTTGTTTAATCATTAAAAAACCCCTATTGTTGAACCACTTGGTGAGCCAGTAGGAAATGCTTCCATTTTCTCCTGAGTAACATTGTGAAATAAATTCTGAGTAACTGCTTACATGGTCCCTTCAGGCTTATTAAATTGAACATTTGCTGAATAAACTGCAGGATATTACTTTGAGCAAGAGCTATGGAATTTGTAGCCGAAGGTGTACATATTACAAATTAAGTTTGACTGAGGCCACCCGTTTGTGTAACTAATTGATGCACAGTGATTCTAAACATCACAGAGTGAGACTATGAAGATTAGAGCAAAAGCTAAGTACTCCACAGTGAGAAAATTGAAATTAAATGAGGCAGTCCTGGGATTGCAGAGGAAACCTGGCAGCATCTATGAAGGGTGAACCAGGTAATGTTTCAAACCTGTGACTTTTCATCATGTTAAGTCTGATGACAATTCTACAAGTCACATTGTGGGTACAGGACTCCCTAAAATCAGTATTCTTCCTAAAACTGACACAAACAGTCCTTCAACTCAGAGCGTCATTCCTTTGAAAGTAAGTGATGAAGCCAGATTAATTAATTACCATCTCTTCCTCCTTCTGTTATAATATATTTTTGTTTGGTGTTTCTATTTAATTTTGCACATTTTGGTAGTTATTGGAATCTAGATGGAAAACATCTAGTGAGAGAGACTGGACAGTCCCTGAGGCATCAGATTAAAAGTTCAATTTACATTAATCCAACTCTTCCCCAGCACCTTGTGTTACTATCTGTCCTGATGCTAATCCAGCTCCCTCACACTCATTCAGTAACCCCTCTCCCCCAGCACCCTGTGTTACTGACTGTACGTCTCCTGATGTTAATCCAGCTCCCTCACACTGTCACTCAGTAACCTCTCTCCCCCTGCACCCTGTGTTACTGACTGTATCTCTCCTGATGTTAATCCAGCTCTGTCACACTGTCACTCAGTAACCCCTCTCCCCCAGCACCCTGTGTTACTGACTGTTTCTCTCCTGATGTTAATCCAGCTCTGTCACACTGTCACTCAGTAACCCTGCTCCCCCAGCACCCTGACTGTACGTCTCCTCTCATTGCAGGTTTGCTGCTAGATAGTTGTCTGCCCATCACAGCAGGGAATTTGTTTGAAAGGCAAACGCCCTGTCCTACCCTTGGCCCACAATCCATGCTGCAAAAGCCTGCCTTTAGCTGCTGATTTTCCTGATCTTTGGAGTTCTTATCTGGCTAGCATCAAATTTAAGTTGCTGCTGAAGTCTCAGCAGCGAATCCTCGTTACTGAATACTCACAGAGCTCCCTGTCCTCCCTTCACCTCCAATTTAGGCTACCTTGATGTGCCCAAATCGCTGTGATGGAATTAAAAATAGGTTATGTCGCGGCAGGTTTGGGTTATGTACATTTAGTCATTGGGCAGTACAGGATGTGAGTATTGCTTAATAAAAACGGACACTTTTTATTAAAGCTTTTTGTCTTGCACTTGTCAGGACAATTTGCAAGAGTTCCAATTTCAGTGGAAGAAAAACATTTACACCGAATGTGGGGAGAGTGCTCATTAGATGGCAAGGGATCTCTGGTTGGGGTGTATAGGAGATTGCACCAGTTAATGATGATTGTCACTTAAATGCCTGACTTTGCAGACAGAGAGGAAAAAAAAGTACATGCAATGTGCTTTTTTTACCTCCACAAAATAGGTCACAAATGTTAACTGGTTCATTTCTCAGGGCAAAGTCTTGGCTAATCAAAGTCAACCTGC